GCAGAGTTTTTCCGGGATATTTTGGAGAGACAATCAGTAGGACTGAATGACTAATTCAGTGTGGCAACTGACAGATGAGGAGCTAAGAGCTTGTTCATGGTATCCTCAAGACCCGCAATCATGACGCTGTTTTTAAAAGAGTTTGGGAACACAAAAGGAAGAACATTTCTTTTTGGTGAGAAAGCTAACAGATTCAATTTTGAATGTTTGAGTTTTGGGTGCCTGATCTGGGTATCTATTGTTGTTTCTGGGTGCCAGAAAGTCAACCTCATGTGATAGAGTAGAACTGCCCCATACGGTTTTCTAGGCTATAATCTTTATGGAAGCATATTGCCATATCTTTCTCCCTTGGAGCTGCTGGGTGGGTTTGAAGCACCAACCTTTCAGTTAACAGGTGAGAGCTTAACTGTTGTGCCACCAGGGCTCCTTGGGTATCTATTACTGTGTAATAAAGTACTCCAAAACGTAATGCTTTAAAACAACAATTTGTTATTATCTCTTATGGGTCTGTGTGTTAGTTGGGCTCAGCTGGGCTGTGCTTGTTTGAGATCTCTCAGGCTGCAATGAGACAGCAGCTGGAGGTAGCCTGGATGTCCAAGATGGCTTCTTCACGCATATGTCTAGTGTCTTGTTTGGGCTTCACTCAGTAAGATGCTCTCAAGGTAGTCACACTTTTTATATGGTGGCTGGCCACCAAGGGTCCACAAGAGAAGTTGCTAGTCCTCTTAAAGGCTAGGCCTGGAATTGGCATACCATCACTTCTGTCAGAGTGATACTGTTTTGGTCAGAGTACTCACAGGCCAACCTAGGTTCAAGGGAAGGAACAATAGACTCCACATGTCAACAGGCAGAGTGAAGACAAGTGTGCTGCCATCTTTAGTCTGTCAGTACTTACGGGACATATATGTTGAGATATTTTGGAGGCAATAGTGAACGCTGGCCTGTATCTCCATAAAGAAATCAGAGTTAGAAACGTGACTGGGGAAGTTTTTCACAGAAAAGTTAACAGTCAAAACCATGGAAATGTGTGAGATCAGGGGGTTGAGAATGGGAAAAAGAACTACATTTAAGAGAGGATTTTAGGAGGAGAAGCCAACAAAGGAGAGAGAAGGATGCTAATAACCAATAAATAGGGACTGAGCCTGAGAAGACAAGAGAGACAAGAGTGTCAAGAAGGAGGAGTGAACAGTGGACAAATGCTGCAGAGAAACTGAGAATCAGATACGTGAGGTTGCTGGAAATGGGGGTGTAGGAGATACCAGTGACTTGCAAGAGATTATTTCCAGTAAGATTGTTAACAGAAAGAAGGACTGCAGCGGGCTGAGGTGTATGGAAGGAGAGATAATGAGCATACAAAGCCTGGCCAGAGATGGTGGCTGGCAGCAGTGGGTGTATATCCTCCTAATAAATCTGGCTCTCAAAGGATGGGGAGAGCTGGAGCAGGAAGCTGCATGCATAGTTGTGCTTGCCCGTTTGTTAGAGCATGCTTGTAAGTGGGAGGTGGTGATGGGAAAGGAGAGACTAAAGACAGAGGAACATGAGAAGGACTGATAGAGGTGATACATGGAGATATTTGGCTTCTGAAAATGAGATGAGAGGAAACACATAGAGTGTGGCTTAGAATATTGAGCTGTTTGAGGATGTATTGAAGGGGAGTTGAAGGAAGTCTCGGTCTCTTCTCTTTGTGAAGAAGGGACTAAACCACTTCATCCTGATAGAGATCCTGTGATTTCCCATGTCCAGCTATACTTGGGCCATTCTCCTCTGTGAAAGATCTTTCTTCCCATCTTTGCTTGCCCAGTATCTCCCTATCTTCCCAGTCCCTTCTCCCAGGATGCCCTCCATGAGTCCTCCAGCTAGATAATTTTCCCTCCTCAGAGCTTTTCTAGAATATTTCATAAACTTCTAACTCTGTGTGTTGTTTTTCCCATACATAATATTCATTGGCATTTTCTCTCCCTTTCTAAGCTTCTGGTAAATTGAGCGGAAAAAGAAAAAAAAAAAGAGTTTCAATGTGAGTAATGAATAATGTTGGTCTTGGGTACATAAAACTGGAAAGGATTCAAAGGAATAGGTGACAAGAAACCCTTACAGGATTGCAAAATCATTTGTCTTCATTATTTTGGTAGTAATTACTGATTACCAAACGTAGGTAGAATTAAAATAATTTAAAAAGAGATGTCATAAAATAAAAAAAAAGCTTCAGGGAATAGTAACATGCTCACTAACTAACTTAGTCAGCTAAGTCAAAGGCTTTGAGGAAAATGAAAGGCAAAGCAGACAAGCGTTTTGTAACACAGGTTGCTATTACAGTGTCATATTCTGTAGATAATCATATTTCCTTGTATCAGATGCCACACAGATAAAAGACTAGTAGAGCTCTTGGCCTGTGAAACCAAGATTTTGATTTTCATGTCCTCACCATGTCTTGGCTTTGATGGGATAAGAAGAAAACAATGCATTAACAATAAAATTTACAAGTATTTTCTCAAGACCTAAAATACAAACTCCTTCAGGAGAGGAGGTGTGTTTTCCATTTTGTGTCAATGTGCCTGGCATATGAACTGCTTGAAAGGATGGAGTGGTGAATAAATGAATGAATGAATGAAGCATAGGCATTGAAATAAGCTTTATTTGAAGATATTATGAAAAATTATAGAGCAAAATTAGAAATTAGGATGTGGGTATTACAGTGAATATAGTATGTAAATATCCATCCCAGACCCTGTATTATATACAATAATTGTGCAAGCACAGAAACTTACACATGAATAAGGTAGTGTGGTAAATAGAATACTCTGGGCCTCCCAGGTTCTGAACTAGAAGTTAATTAGAAAATTTTGAAAGTATATAAAATGTTTTCCAGTATTCAATGGTAGAAAAAAATAGAAACTAAATACTTTGAGACATTTCGAATTAATTTTTCTATAAGCAGATTATTTTTAGTAAAAAAGTTTTTCTTAATGAATATAGGCTTCCATGAGTCAGCATTCCTTCTCTTCTTTCACGCTTATGCCAGAAAAAATAATTTTGTACTAACACCGAGGGTGATGCTGGTGGTGGTGGTGGTGGGAGAGGTGGTGAAAAATGAGCAATGATTTTTACTTGAAATTGTTAGACGATATCTAGAGTTTACCATTTTGCCCCAATAACAACACTAAGAAAAACATACTAACTTAATAGAGTACATTATTTAATCCAAAAACTAAAGAAAAAAAAATTTAAACATAGAACATTTCACTTTCTGCTTAGAATCCTTCATTTGGACAAGGTGCCTAGTCTGATTTTATTTCACAGAATGGATTTACGATACCTAGCTTGGATTCTATGCAGGTTAATAATTTCACTTTCCTTGAATAGGAGTTCTCACTAATTAAGTCATAAATTGTCTGCAGAGGCTAATCTGTGCTTTTGCATGTAGTATCTAGCATGAAGGGGCCCTGGTGGTGCAGTGGTTAAAGGGCTCGGCTGCTAACCGAAAGGTCAGCAGTTCGAACTCACCAGTAGCTCTACGGGAGAAAGATGTGGCAGTCTGCTTCTATAGATTCACAGCCTTGGAAACCCTATGGGGCAGTTCTACTCTGTCCTATAGAGTTGCAATGAGACAGAATCAACTCGAAGGCAATGGAATTGGTTTGGTCTGGGGTGTAGCATGAAGGGGGAGAGGGGACAATGCCTTCAAAGAAATTGTCTGACAAATAATGGTTACCAAAATTATAATTAAGGCACTAACATATTTATTTACTCTAGATATGCTGGTTTTGTCCTTTAATCTGGGAAACAACAGATACAGTAAAGAGGACAATAGGAGAAAGCTATGAAAACTGGGCTTCAGAGAGGCTAAGGCCTCTAGTCATCAGACTCACAGATTGATAAAACCAGGGCAAGCGGGGATAGTTGCCTACCTACACTTAAACAGCAGTGAAAATTCAGAGGGACCCCTAAGCCAAGTGTCTTACAAATCACATCCCTAAACACATGAAGTATTAAGGAGAAAACCTAGTTTGATATACGTTATGTTAAAAACATTGTTCATGAGGAAGGACTTAAAGATACATATCTCACTCAGAAATCATCCTCATAAAGTGACCAGATTTTTATGTAATGTCTGAAGAGACCTTGAATAATAGCAATATAATTTTCTATTAAAGGCAAAAATTCAAAGAAAGATTAATGTAGTATTTTTGTGCTCCTTATGTCCTGTTACTTTATGTCAAGTGCTTGGAAAAAAAACACAGAATGGCCACAAGGTTGTGTAGGGTATTGCTTATTCCAAGAAGACATTTATCGCATATCAAGGTTAAGATTTCAATGAGTTTCCATTGGCTAAATGATTGCAGAAATTAATGCTATTCAGAACAGCTTTAACTTGCACAGCTGACTTAGGAAATGTGTGACTCAGCATCTAAATTGGCATCAGCGGCACATTTACAGGAGTTGCCTTATCGCTGCATCACTTACTGTCTTTCATTCTCCCTCACTTTCTCCCATTATCATCATCACATGCAACTGAAGTTTCTCCTTCAAAACCAAAAGCCCTTGTGGAATAGTCCTGTGAAAGCTATGGGTCACTGAAAATGTGAATGGTATGGTATGTCTCTTGCATTTACATTTTGATTAAGTGAAAGTCTCTTAGTTTGGGTCATTATCAATACATATATCTGTAGAGAAAATGAACATGCATTTATAATGTGACCAACATTACATGATTTATTGTTCTTATAATGTGTAAATACAGGAAAAAAAAAAAAGAGAAGAGAAGAGTCCAGCTCTTCAATCCCCTGGGTATGAACACTGCCAGTGACTAATGTGGCAAGCTCACATCCTCTGTGAAGGCCAGCCTCAGGCTCACAATGTCGCATCGCTCATCATGGCAACTGCACTAGGTCTCCAATTTTAAGAACCGTCATATATATGTAAATCTGTCTACTCTGCTGGACTGATCTTCCTGTAGAGGGTTTGTGAGTGTAAAATGAAAGGCTCAAAATGGGTTTCCATACCTGATTGTGGACTTTGTTTGGGGATTTTGGCTGCCGCTTGAGGGCTGGAGGTGGAGTACGCACGCTGCTGGTTGGCAGAGCTGTGGATGATGCTGGGAACAGCCGAAGAGACGTTCTTGCGGGGCTTCATGTCTTGCAGCCACATGGGAGAGGCTTCGAAGGCCTGCATCCTCCGAGCGTGGCTGTTGGCATTGACTTTCAGGTAGGCCTGGGCCTTGTGTTCCTGAAGCTCTCCGTAATTGGCATCGGTCACCCTGCACTCATATAAGCCTTCATCCTTTTTCCTCACTTTGGAAATCTGAAGCTTGTGGGAGATGTCATTGCCTTGGACTTTCACTGTCTGAAAAATTGCAGGTAAAAAAAAAAAAAAAAAGCACTACATCAAATGGTTTTGTTCATATTCTTTGTGTGGAGCTTGCTCATGTTTGAAAACTAAAGGGTCTTAATGGTCTCCCAGGTCTCTAGGTGGTGCAAATGGTTTGCATTTGACTGCTAACTTAAAGGTTGGTGGTTTGAACCCACCCAGCAGTATGATGGAAGAAAGGCCTGATGATTCTGCTTCTGTTAAGATTGCAGCCAAGAAAACCCTATGGAGCAGTTCCACTCTGTAACACTTGGGACAATGGGTTTGCCTTAGTTTTGAACGGCCTCACATCCACAACAGGGAGCTTTTTATTTTCTCAACAATAAAATCTGAACATCTTATTTATCCATTCTACTAACAACTGGATTCACAGAATCATGGAATCATGAGTTTAAAGCAGCCAGTCCCAGATTCAATTAGCCATGTGGTCCCCATTCCCCAAGTTCCAGTAGCAGCTCTGTCATTTTCTAATCACAGGACCAATCTCTGTCTAGTTAGCTCAGTTGAATGAAGCACAAACTAAAAGAGAGCAAGTCTATAGTTTGTGTCACCTCTTTTCTTCGCTGTGGGCTACAAATTAAGCCCTTCAACTCTGAGAGATCACAATAATATTTTGTTTGTCACAATGGAGTCTAGGTGACGACGCACCTTTATCCACACATTTGGATGACTCCTAAAGGCACTGAGAAAATAGCCTTGAGTATTAGAGATTTTTGTTCTCAACATTTTTGGTGCAGTCTTGCCTATAATAATGGAGTGGCAGGATTAATATCACTTGAAGTCTATGGCTAAGAATATATACCCTCAAGGTCGGCAGTTCAAATCCACTAGCCGCTCCTTGGAAACCCTGTGGTGCAGTTCTATTCCATACTATACGGTAGCTATGAGTCAAAACCAACTCGACCACAACAGGTGTCTGTGTGCCATCCTAGGGACTTTATGGTACTGTAACTTAGGATGCCATCAATTAAACAGTAGTGTGGTTTGCAAAATTGAAATTTACTCTCTTGCTTCTTCTAATAATCTTTATTCCAGATTAATAGTGATATATATATATATTCAAAAGAGTTAGATTTGGTATATATTATATATTATTTATAATTTACAGATTGGTGGATTTTATAAGCCATGCAGAATTTAGTAATTTGGTAGATTTTGAAAGATAGAGAAAAGAGGTGAAGAAGTTAGGCATTTATTTATTTTGCTACTGGCCATCACAGTTTCAAATGGCTATAAATGGATGGGAAAACTTGGGAAATGTCCATCTTTTTTTACATGTAGAGATTTATATACAAAGAAACAGTTTTCAATGTTTGGACCATAACCATAAGTACGTATTTATATAAATGCAAAATTACATATAACTACTCCTACAAAAATAATGGAAATTAGTGGTTTCAAGTACATTCTCAGTGGAATCGCCTAATAAAGTTTGAGGTAGCCAGAGTATTTATATTATTCATATCCCATTTTAAAGTTGAGTAAAATGAGGCTTAGGGAGTTTGGGTCAGTGATTCGCGACATTAGCTGCACAATAGAATCACCTGGGGAGCTTTTTAAAAGTGCTTTCACTTGGGCTAATGCAAAACTGAAGTCTGCATCTCTAGGGGGTGGAGCCAGAATCAGTAGCTTATAAACGCTCTCCAGGGAATTTTAACTTAATAACTACTGGTTTAGGAGATACGTTCAATGTCATATCATGGGTAAAATGGGAACTACTTTCCACCTAAATTAGTGTCTAGAACTCTTTTCAATTCACTAGATTTTATGAACTTTTGGCCTAGATCATAGTGTTAGCAGTCGTGTGTATGGTTACATATGTGATTATGTGTCTGTATCTAGGCATCTTTAGGACAAAATGTGTGAGGTTATTTTTTGTTACTGGTCTTTGGGAAATATGAGTATACATAAAGAGTGAAAGATGAGTAGTCAACCCACAATCTCTCCAGTTATGTACGTATATGAAAAATGAAATATTTGAGAAAAACTTATTCTTTAAATTGATCTTACCACTAATGATTTTCTGGCATTGCATACAAACAACAGTTTCTGTGACATCAGAATAACTGAAATGGAAGTATTCTAAAAAGTCACTGCATTTACGAATATAGATTGGAGTTTCAGTTTTATAATATCATATTGCATTTGATATTTTCTTCCATGTTGAGATTATGCATTTAGATCACTGAACTTGATTCTATTAGTACAATGTACTTTTACACTTTGGGGTATGCTGTAACCCCAATTTTATGACATTTTATGTATTGTAAGAGCTTCAAAATAAATTTTAGTTTTAAGTGCACACATTGGGTTATTAGGTTCCTAAAAAAATAATATATTTATGCTTAGCATATTTCTCTTTTCTTATTGTAAAACTATTTCATTTCTAGTAATGAGACCTTGTTTATTATTCATTCACAAGTTAAATAGTTTTATTAATATAAAGTGATTCTCTGTGGCTTCATTTGAGGCATAGTAAAAAAAAATAAGATTTTCACTTTTTTTTAATTCACACTAAATTATAAAAGCAATGATCTGTACAGTAGAAATACATCTCTGCATTTTCAATAGGTTAATCTCCTCCAATTATGTTTTTCATATTTATACTGGCATATACATTGCATATCTTTTACTGGGATTATGAATGACATTCTGAAGTGAGTTTTTTTCTTTAGAATATTAACATCCTGTTGAATGTTTTAATTCTTTTTGCCGAGGAAGATTTGTGTATGTTAATATTTTACTTCCCACTAAAGAATTTAATTCTTTAATTCTGTAATTTTGAATGGATAGTATTGCAGACCTTTGTTCTTACAGTTATATAACTGCTACAAAGGATCAAGGGAAAAAAGTGTCACACAACCTCTTTGGATGGCAGAATGATTCTCTAGCTCACTGGCTAAATATTTTCATGATTAAAATCTAGATTTGTTTCAATTTGTCTGTAATCAATGAGGTAAGAGAAAGACTGGCTCCCATCCTGCGGTTTGCAAAATTGCTTTCTCGGGTGCAGCAAAGTAGGGAGAACTTAAAAGATTTTTAAAAATGTAAAATTCTTGAACTAATCTCTACCTTGGGCCAGCCTGGCAGCTGACTGAGGCATGCGCCCCTGTCGCCTGCCCCTGTGAATACTCACACTGATCTTTGTCCCGTCGTTGTCTGGATCTCTCTCTGGTAAGAGCTCCACCTGTGGGAGAAGGACACAAACGCTCAAGCCACGCCTCGGGCCCCTTCCCCCGACCATCCGAGTTCCTGACCCAGGCGCACCGGGTACCAGGTCGTGCCGAGTCTATCTTTCGAGACCAATGTCTTTGTGGTTGTTGAAACATTTTAATCGAGGTAATTTAGAAAAGAGGGACACCTGTCCTATCCATGTTCAGTTCCCCGTCTAGAAGCTCCACTGCCTGCCTCGAAAGGCAGCCTCTGTAGGCGGCAGATCCCTCGTAGGGCGGGATGGTGGCAGTCACCACCGCGCTATTGGAGTCCGCGGCCGCCACCCGCGCGCGCGGAGCCTGCGCCCGGGAGCCCAGCCGGGGGCCGAGTGCACCTCCGATCTGACTCGCGTTGGAATCAGTGTAGGGCGGGCGGTCCCAGGAGGAGAAAGAAGCAAGGCTGGGTGGGCCGGTGCGTGCGTGTGGGTGGAAATTTTCCAGGAAGAGCCCTGGGCCGCCCCCAGCTGCCATTCTCCCCGGGGGTCTCTCTCTCCGGTTTTCTTTTTCTCGCCCAGACAGGTCCGCCTCCTCTTTCGCTTAACTCTGTCCTCCCATTCCGCTTATACCCTCTTTTCATCTCTTCCCCTCCTTCCTCCCCCTTCCCCCTTTTCTCCACTCCTCTTTCTCCAGCTCTCCCACCCTCCTTCCCTTCTCCCCACGCTCCTTTCTTGTCTCTTCCCTTCTGGCCCCCCTTCTTCCCTCCCTTTTCTCTCCTCCCTCCTCCTTCCTCATCTCCTCTCTCTCCCCTCCCCTCCCCTCCCCTCCCCTCTCCTTTCCTCCCCTTCCCTCCACTCCCACCAATCTTTTCTCTGTTAACTGCAGATAGACGTGAGGACGTGGTCGATGGGGGGAGGGGATGGAGACCCCGACACGATGTCCCCCCTCGCCCACTCTGCCATTTCAGAAAGGTGGCAGTGAGTCTCCTGGGATGTATCAATATGGTCGTGTCCTCCTCAACATCTTAATAATGATCAATACCAAGAGGGGGAGGGTCTTCCCAGTTTTAGACTTTCTCCTTGGCTTTCCCTAGTGTCACCGGGACAAATTCCGTCTCACTCCCTGCTATGCCTGGACGTCGCTCAGCCAGAGAAAACCAGGCTAGTCCAGGGGGCGCCCGGGCACCGTCTTGGACCCCGACCTGGGCTGGACAGCCGGAGGACTAGGGGAGTGAGTAGGGCAGTGGCAAGAGGTATTGCGGGCGATGCGACTCCACTACCTGCGCGCCGGCCACCTCAGCCCCGGACTCCAGGTCCTCGGGCCCCCGCAGGAACCACCACTGGATCTCAAGGTACACTGAGGCCGAGCCGCTCTGGAAAGCGCAGGACATCTCCACATTCTGCCCCTCGATGGCCGTCACGTTCCGTGGAAACTCGGTGAATTTTGCTGCAAAAGAAACGCATCCTTTTGGAATATCTACATCATTCTTGCCAACGTCTCTTTCTTTGAGAGCTCCTGAAATTTTTTTTTTTTTTTTTTTTTGGACTTAAAAACCCCTCTATGGCATCCGCGACTTTGCCTGGCTCCCCAACCCCTTTTCTTTTGCCGGTCTTATTTTTGGTATAGTGCCTAAGTCACATTGTTGCTAATCCAGTCCAGGCAATGGAAAGGTTAACGAGCTTGCCAGTAACTCCACCTCTGTTAGCCAAACCGCTCACAGTTAGATCCAAACACCTTTTGTCAGACTGCAGTATTCCCTAAAACTTACTGAAGGATTCAGTGTGGTACAATTTAGACAATCTGTCGAGTTGCTATATTGGGAGAACCTCTAGCCTCTAAGTTTCTCAACAAGCTACAACTAACTGGTTGTTTCGTGTAACAGAGAATGGATCATGATTATCTGTCAAAATGCACATTCCTGCTACATCAGAACAGTTATTAACAATTGTGATTTGAAGCCTATAGCAGTGAAACAACTTGCACACTTTCTAAACTGTGTATATTTCTCTCTCCGAATTAACCTTCATATTTGTTCCCATCAAACCAAGTATTTTAAATTGCAACAATCTCACATCCAAGCCTAGTACAGATTATAGATTATTTAGAAGATTTTTTTCCCTCAGTTTTTTATTAGCAATGTTGCCACTTCTAGTCTGCAAGATTTCATGGAGGCGTGGTGAAACTTATGAAAATAAAATATTTCCTTCCTCCTAAAGACATTTCTTTAACATGGATTGTTTTGAATGGTTGTTCTTACCTTGTCTAAGGGACACTTTACGAAGAGCTGACAGTTCCCTAAAAGTAATCTTAGAATGGCTTGTGGCTGAGGGGAGTGCACAGCTACAATGCACACTTAGGAAGAGGAGAATAGAGGGGACTGCAGGGCTGATTTAGGGTGGATGCACTCCCCACTTTTTAAAGAGAGACACCATTAGTGTCTCTTTTCATAGTTTTGTGAAATCCCAAAATGATCTCTATAGCAACAGAATTGTATTTATGCTTTAAAGGGGATGGGAGATGACGTTAAGGAGACATTCTAATCTGAAAAGGACTTTTCTGTTCAGGCTGGCAGCGAGTATGGCATTTCTGCTTGCAGAGGTGCTGCAGTCTTTTGGCAGCGGCGATGGGATCTGTTCATGGTACTGAAATGATCACTGCAGCCTGCGAAGTCCTGAACAACTGGATTCAGCAGGGCTGCTGCTGCTGGTAATGCAAGTCGTGCTTTTTTATGGGTCCTCAGAGGAGTCTGTCCTTTGACAAACACACATGCTAACAAAGTCACACGGACCCAGAAAAGGGAAACTCTAAATCCGTTCTGACTACATGTAGAAGGAGGACTGGTAATGGAGACCCCCTATCCCCAGCTCTCTGTTTGCGATGATTATGCATGAGTGGGTACCCTGTGCATGCACACAGAAGGCACTGGCGCGCGCGCGCGCGAGCGCACACACACACACACACACACACACACACACACACACAAAACACAGAACCCCGTGCCCCATTTGAGCTTACCTGGGAACCCACTCCAATGTCAGCCACCAACTAGGTTTGTCTCATACCTAGCTTGCCTAAAATTTAATAAACTTTAAAGAAAAACGTCAAAGAGAACATTCTTCATACAACCTAAACCGAACGTTACTTGCTAGGAATCTCACTACATCTGCCTGGCCATTCTTTGAATGTAGTGAACACACACACACACACACACACACACACACACACACACATCAAGCAAATGTATATTTGCCAATGAGCACCGACTTACCTTGGGAAGAAAGCGCTTGTTGTACATATAAAACGGAAAAGAAAACAAATCCAACATATACCAAAAAGATCCCCATCATTCCAAAAGGGAGGGGGGGTCACATCAGTGTAGCCAGCAGCCAAAAAGCCCTAAAAGAAAGGCGTGTAGATGTATCAGAAGGCTCTGTCTCAGAGCTCTGGGCGCGACACTGCAAACATCCTGCTGCTCGCTCTGCGAGGACTGGCTTTGGGGAGAGGGGATTGCAATTCGCGAAGGTTAAAACCAGCTGGCTCGGATTCTGGGAGGCTTCCACTCCAGACCCAGGCTTGACAAGCTGGAAGTATTTCCGCTGCTTCGCTGCCTGCTTTCAGCTACCTGGCAGCTCGTCCAACGTCAGCCCGCTGCTCCGGCTTGCGTGATCACTGCCCTCCCTAAACACCGAGCCAGCTCGGGAAGTGGGGAGTGGGCAAGGGGGGCGGGCTAGAGGACTTCACAGGGCTCCCAGCGCCGCAACTTTTCCCTCTAATGGCTGCGATGATGCCTTTAACTCTCTGCGCGCTGGACAGCTCCCCACCTGCGGAGACCTTGGGCCCGGCAGCACCCAGAAGCCAGGGGGCTTGAAGGCTCCGACTAGGTTTTCCTTCTGGAGCGCGGGAGCATTTATTTACTTATTTATTTTCCAATTTTTCACCCTCCCTGCCCCAGCCCCGTGGACTGAATCGTTCTTGGCCGCGGCGGATCGGATTCCTTGGTACTTAAGAGGACAATACAGTTGTAGGATCGCATTGTTTGCTGGGGGCTAGGAGCTACAGATTTGAGAAGGAAGTTGGGGCATTGCTGAAGAGGAGAGGAGGAACGGGATGGGATGAAAGAGACTCTTTGGGGCGATGGAAACAGCCATTTGAGGGAAATGTCGCTTAACTAGTTATTAACTGCTGAAACTAGAACGATCACATGCAATGATTTCACACGAATTTATTGCCGCACAGCCTCCAGGGGAAGAGAAGCAGTGCATGCAGGCACCACGTCACAGTAGCTGACAAATGGAAAAGAGAAAAAGTACAAAAAGTCACGTATTGAGAGAATTTTCCAGAAAAAAAGTCCACCATACTGTTTCCCCCCCTTTTTTTAAAAAAATTCATGCATCCCTTTATCTTCCCTGTCTCCGTCCCACATGTATTTTGGGAGTCTGGCAGAAGTTTTAAATACCATCAAGGTCTTGATTATATGGTTTGCTTTTGTTTTATTCACTTTTTATTTGCATAATTAATAATTATATAATGTTCTCTGGGATCATATGAATAAGGGATACTGTTTTAGAAACAAAATAACAAATAAGTCTTAGAATTTGGAAGAAATTTAGTTATCTGCCCTGTAGAAGTTTTGAGATGTATATTTCTTATTAAGAATCTGAACAATAGTATATATCATGTTAAAGACTCTATTTGTCCTTATGGAGTCCAAATACTAGTCAGTGAATTTAAATATTTTTAATAAAATTAAGATAATTTACCGTCTAAGCAGGGTACCAAATATTTTATTGCCATTATTATTTCCATGTAATTGTACCACAGATCATGAGTATTGTTTGAAAATATGAGTCAGTCTTAACAATGCTGTCAGGAAACCAATGCAGTATATGTATTTTCCTGTTACAGATAAAGAAATTGTAGTTGGCTAATGCTTTAGCTGGCCAATAATAATAATAACATTAACTTTAATATAGCTGTTGGGTTTTTAAACCACCTATCTTTCTACTGCTGAATATAGCAGTTACTTAAAAGATTAGAAAACTAAGATGTGATAGATTTCTTAACAGTATTATCTATTTTCCAAAGCCATATATATTTTTCACTGTAGGTAGAGGTAGGATATGAGATTTGGAGAAAGCCATGGGGAATATTTTACATCTGTTCATATTCAGAACAGCTAAGCTCTATATCCTCCTTATATTCAGCAAAGAGGTTTGAAGTTTGTCATTTCAAGGAAAGAAGTTTCTCTCATGAAGAATGTGTTCAGAGCATAGAAATATAATCCAGGTTAATACACCTACCCCCAACAACAAAACTTTGCAAGTATTAGATCCTCAGAGGTTAACATTTTATGCCTAGCGAGATATTCTCAATGTTTAGCCCAAGGTTTTAGCTTTATTTCAACAATTAGCAAAAAAAAGTGAGATTAATATACCGTGAAAATAAACTGAATTCAAGGTTATCTGCGGTTAGAACGGTTTTCAACATAAAGAAAAGGGCATCCATTTTAAGCAAGGAAAGTTCTGAATTAATTTAGCAAAGCACTTCAACTGCTTTTTGGAGGAACGTGATCACTAGCTGTAAAAGCACAATAAATGTAAGATTAAAAGTGTGAAAAATAAAGTGTGAGAAAAGCTTTTATGGGACAGAGAAACTATGAAACTACTTTAAATAGAAAGTTATAAGCATTTAAGCTGCCGAAAAGAAAGGAAGGAGAGTAGGAAGGGAGAAAGAGATGACAAATTTGGAAAAGCATTTTTTTTCTTATGAAAAATCTCTGGTAGATACTTTATGTTCAGTTTTGCCAGTGTAGATCAAAATTTTTGTCTTAAATGTTAGTTATATCTTTTCAAGGACTGTAAATAGTGCTGGTAAAAACATTTGCATTATCTTTGACAGAGTATCTATTTGCTTTATTGAAGACAAAATGTCTCTATATTAAAAGTCTGAGGGAGTCCCTGGGTGGAGCAAATGGTTTGGCTCTTGACTACTAGCCAAAATGTTGGTGGTTCAAATCCACCCAGAGGTTCCAAGGAAGACAGGCCTGGTGATCATCTTCTGAATGGGGCCTCCACGAGGAGGAATCAACTCAAGGGCAACTAACAACACTACATACAAAAAATCTTTAAAATATTCAAAATAAAAAGTTTTAAATGCTAAGAAAATTAAATTAAAAAGTAAATATATCCAGCATATCTAAGGACACAGTTCTGATATTAAGTTCTATTATTTTTAAGGTCCCTTTAAAACATATATTCTTCTGCAAGATTGGAGGTAACTTATCCAGAAAGACAACCTGTCTGTGTGTGGATACAGGAGCAATGTCCCCTGCCCATTTCTCCTCCCCAAAACGATTGCTGATGACTTATAAAAATGACTACAAATCTCTTCTTAAAAAAGACATACCTATTTATCAACTAGTGCTCCAAAAATAAAATCCTACTATTTCATCCTTCAATTGTCTCCTTGCCCTCTGAATAAGCTTTTGGTCATTACTTTGCTTTTTTTTTTTTTTTTAATTTAAATATGTGGATGTTGCAAAAGGTTAAATGTTTGACTACTAGCCAAAAAGTAAGAGGTTGAAAACCCACCTAGAGGCACCTCAAAAGACAGGCTGGGTGATCTGCTTTCAAAAGGTCACAGCCTTGAAAACCCTATGGAACAGTTCTACTCTGAACACATGGAGTTTCCATGAGTTGGAATCGATTACATGGCAGCTGACAACATCCCCACAGCTATGTTGCCCCTAAAATTTGTAATAGGAATGCCTAACTGAATATGCACCTAACTTTCTTAGGCATAGTGCAGTCTGTTTGAGTTTATTCCATTGACTTCCTTGGTCTTTTATTTAGACTGCATTTTAGTCTTCTAGCGCATATTCATTTAGTTTTCTCTTTCAAATACACTGTTTTCTTATATAGGCTTTTACACAAGCTTTCAGAGTTATTGATCTACCCAAAAGCTAAACTGGAGAGGGGAAACTTCAAGATCTGTGATTAGAGACTGCATCATCCTTTTCCTTTAGAGGGCTTTGGGGGCATTTTAATATCTGAACTTGGTGGGATTTTGACCCTCACACACCAGTGGTAGGATGGGTTTCCATATCACACTTCTGGAATCTTTCCTTGAGGCCTACGTGCCAAACGTAAGCTTTTAAATGTTCAGAATAATTGGAAGATGCAAATTAGGTTCTTTCATCATCAATAGCCTGTAAAAGACAACCATATGAAGGACTGAAAGATGATCCTTATGGATGCTAAGAGGGAAGTTTCATGTCTTTACCTCCTCACAGGCATCTCACTGGGTTAGATGAGCCACATATGCTTTTCTGTGCACACATTTAGACTTGCATGCTACTGTGTTCGTGAACACACTCTTTGGTGATGCTCTAATCTGTGCATTGCCCCACAGGGTTTCCAAGGAGTGCCTGGTAGATTCAAACTGCCAACCTTTTGGTTAGAAGCCATAGCTCTTAACCACTGCACCACTAGGGCTTCCAATCTGTGCATAGGAGAGAATATTTCCAGGGACTGAGGAAAATTTTCACCCACAATCTCATGCCTGGGTTAGTAATTTTTTTCTTACTTGGGGAAATTAAGTAGTAGGATACTAGACAGTCTTTAAATATGGAGACAGTGAACAATTCACAGAAAAAACTCTAATTCAAGTGAAGACAGTAAAAGTCCAGGAGAAACTTACTAGCTTCTATTAGCCGAAGATGGGCTTTTAAAATGTGTTTTCTACTGAATTCTGCAGACCAATGCTTTGGCAGTGCTGGGTGTACTGGGCTCCTCTACATGTTGCAATTTCAAAGATATGAGGATAGAGTCAAGGGCACGTGACAACAGAAGAAACAATGTGAATATTATCTCTTTCCATACATGTACAGAACATGTCTTCACAAAATGAGTGGACTTCAGAACTGGAATGGAGCTTGTTGTTGTTATCTGCCATTCTTATGGTGGCCCCATGCATACTGGAACAAAATGCTGCCCAGTCCTGCACCATCCTCATGGTCAGTTGGAGATCAGACCGGTGTGACACATAGGGTTTTCACAGTTTGATTTCAGAAGTAGATTGCTGGGCCTTTCTACTTAGTCTGTTTTAGCCTGGAAGTTCCACTGAAACCTGTCTACCATGGGTGACCCTGCTGATATTTGAAATACTGGTGGCCTAGCTTTCAGCATCGTAGCAACGTGCAAGCCTCCACTGACAGACAGTGGTGGCTGCACATCAGGTATATTGGCCCAGAATTGAATCCAGATGGTTCTCATGGAAGGTGTGAATTCTACCACTGAACTACCACTGCCCCTGGAATGGAGCTTAGTGAGCAATTAATCCAAACTGCTTTTTCTAGAGTTGAGAGACCCGGGGCCTCTGGTCTGAGCCAGTCAGTTGTGGCACAAAAGTAAATCAATACATTGTTTCTTCAAGATCCTAAGATCTAAATGACTTAAAATGAAGTGTAGAGGGTAAAATATTTTAAGGTAAGCAAACAAAAATTGTCATTCCTGCCATTGGTTTTACAAATTATACAGAAATAGTAGCCATTTAAAACAAAATTAAAGGTGCCTAAACTCTTTCCCAGACACTGGTAAACACTGGGTCCTGAGATATTCTTTTAATCCCTTCAACACAACTCTTGCCATATCACATCTTGGGTTTTACAAAGTAAACAATTCATAGAGAGAGAATAACTGGTTGTCATTCGAAGTGATCAAACATTTTAAATAGCCTGGTGGCCTATATGAATGCT